CGGTAGTGTTTGTGTGTTTATTTAGCCTTCTTCGGCAACAATCTATTAAAGGGATCACCACGCCCTCGTTTGATTTGCATAACTGTCTACTTGTTTCGTAATAGTAAGCCTGTTTTGTTTTACTACTTTGGCGTCGGTTGTGTTACTCGTATTCGTATTATCAGGGAAAGAGGCTTTCATGCAGTGGTTTTTCGCGTTCACCTACTGCCAAAAATGCCCCAGTTAATGGTAAGCGTATCGATTTTGCTGAGCTCCCTTGCTTCTCTTTTAAGCTGCAGTTCGGAACCGTTCGGGGCGTAAAGGTAACTGCACTCTAAGCCGAAGGTGACTATTTAGCATGCAGATTGCACTAGCAAGTGCAATTGGGTTGTTGCAGGTGAACGGTGGTAAGCTCATGCAAAATATTTATGCTGTCCATTCATGGATTATTAAATTGTCGGGGCACGCCGTGGCTCCAAAAGTGCGACTGTGAAGACGGAGATCGTTAGGAAAAGGACTGGTATTATTCGCATGCTGTTTTGGTTTCTACCTCGAATATATCATCAGTCGGACACTCGAGGTGTGCAGCTCGGCATCCCAGGCCTGCGTTCTCCATGAAGAGCGATTGCCTTGAATGGTTGACACAGCGTTTTCTATGGTGCACTGCGCAATGACCTTGAGCAACTTGAGCCAATGTGCCGCAGTACGGTTTGGTGTGCTGATAACTGACTCACACACGCGAGCAGTGGCAAGCAAGACCGCTCTTAGCTTGACAGCTCCTTGCTGCACGTTAACATTAGACAATGGGGGTGGTATGTGGAGCTCCGATTGACACGATGACCTTGAATACCACCTAACCAAGGCCAATCAAGTCCCAGAACCGCCTTAAGCCTTCTTTATTCAACCTTCCCGGCTTTTAACAGGAAGCCATACTGCCTGTCTCCGATGCTTTTCATTCAACCAACACCGATTCGCGAAATTCCTTGCAGATGTTAGTGATGGTTCTAAATAGTATCTGTTCGCACGCTTGAGTTGGCATTTATTTTGCTGTGGACTGCAGCTAGCATTGCAAAACGTGCCAGCCAGCCAACCAGCCTTTTAGTTGTCCACAGTTATGCGTCTTTGTTTTTGAATTAGTCGTTTAACTTTTGTCCGCATTTTCGCCGCATTCTTATCGCTCTCTCGTACCCCGGCGTTCATTTCCATCCTTTGCTGCCTATTTTTTTTTCTAGGCACTCAGTCCGGAGCCATCTACCTCATCACGCCCATTCGCGACAAGATGCTCAGTCGTTTCCGCATCGTGGAGAAGAACTTGGTGCAGTGTGTGGGTACAGTGGCAGGTCTTGTGCCGCGATTCTGCAGGTAGGTATCCTAACCAGTACCGTCTCTCTCCCCCCCACCCCTGCGACAGTTCGACCGTTGGTTTTAACGAGGTGACGCACGACAGCGAGGTGAATATAAGAGTTACAGGAAGCAGTTCAGAAGAGGAAGAAGATGCGACCACTGGAACAAGAGCTTTATTGTCCTGACGTTTCGGATTCCGTCGGGAATCTTTAATCATAGGTAATGGTACGATAGTCTGAGTCATACGCAGATAGGGGTGAAGCATGCACAGATTGCACGGTATTTATAGTTTGTAACGGTCATCCGCGTGATGGCGGTGATGGCTTGACACTTCGTGTTCGACTCATTAATTGCTGCGGTTTCCTTGTCCGTGTCGGATGCGGGCCTGGTAATTGCGCGACAATTATGCTCGCTGGCCTCAGAGTTGTTGTTGGGCCCGGCCCGGCCCTTCCCATGTGGTTGATTTTCTTCCTCAGGCAACGTCTAAGTACACAGTAGGGAAACGCTAAATCTTTGCGCTTGTTGATGGACTGGAGGCCTGAGAACAACGACTCGAGCAGCTCGCGGTTCACGCGC